CGGCTTCTTCAATCTTGAGCTGTGACCCCTTGTGGGGCGAGCGTCCGCCAGCTCCAAGTAAGGACACTCGACCGAGTAGTGCCCCTTGAGATGCTTATACACCTCAACTAGGTCATCCCTTGCCGGTCTGTAGTATAAGCTAGGCAAGATCAGGCGCTCCAATCTCTCAGGATAGATGAGGTGCCGAAGTGCAGGCACCAGTCTGGTGGCCCTCCTTTGAACATTTTCAACCAACTGACAGTCCCTAGCATATCTCGGGGACCAGACGGGGTGACAGTACTCCAGATGGGGAAGCACTTCACTCTTGAAGATCGTCACAAGGGACGGACCGTCTAGATATCTGAACGACCTTCTTATAAGACCCAATAATTTATTTGCCTGGTTTACCTTCTTCTCGTAATGGCCCGAGAACTTCAGCTCATTGTCAACATACACACCTAGGTCCTTCTCACATTCAGTCTCAACTAGTGCAGTTTCTTCATCCCGTTGGGACATATGATTCGTCTCCTTACCGTTGGTACGCCCCAGGTGCATCCTCTTACACTTCGTGACATTGAATCTCAGCAGCCATTTCTTCGACTATTCCTGAAGCCAACAGAAGTCCTTCTGCAGCTCTTCACAGTCCGCTTGGTTCTTAATTTCCCGAAATAACTTGGCGTCATCGGCAAACATTTGTATGGAAGAGTGTACAACGTCAGGCATGTCAGTTATGAAACAAAAAAAAACAACAGCGGGCCCAATACACTGCCCTGTGGTGCCAGCAATAGCTTCCTGTGCTGCTCCCTCTGTAATAACGTGCTATCTGGGTGAATGAATACATCCCGAAAGGTCTCGCCCCTTGCAAAGTCTTTTTGCTTGACGAATGACCTCTCATTTCTCCTCCTCACTCACTAGTGTGATCCTGAGAGGTCGAGGCTTGTCCTCCTGTTTATGTCCCCAGCCTCCTCACATCCTGAGTGTTGGTTGGCAATTTTAGAACCTCTGTACAAATATTCGCAAACTTCAACGTGTCGTGTGTTTTCCTGCTCCCTGCTTCCTTCTCCTGGCTCTCAGGGACTCCATAAACTATTACGTTGTTCCTGCGCTCGAAACGTTCCCGTTGTCCCTCCTCTCCCCTAGCAGTAGGTCTACTAGTTGCCATCTCTTCGACACACTTCTTCACATCCCCTAGCTGTTGTTGAACTTTATCAGGATCCTGCATTACTCTCCGTCACCTCCCGTGGCCCTGCTAAGACTTGAGCGTAACTCCTCATCACTACCCCTTCCATTCTGTCGGCTACTTCCTCGGACTCAACAATGGTCTCTATCCCAAATTGCTCAAGTTTGGCGATCAGCTTCATTTATTTCGCCCCTAGGACACGTGTTTCCTTATGACTTGCAAATGCCTCATTCACTTTGACTCTGCAGTGAGGGCAATACCAGTGACATCTTTCCTGCTTTACTCCATTATGTAACGTCCTTAACTTTAGGCCGCCCACATTGACGACATCTGTCGTCTCCCTGCAGTAATTGCACGTCAACAGACTTCCTGGTGCTGCTTCAGTCACTGATTTCCCGCCCGTCATGGTTGATTACTGGTGGGGAAGGGTCGACGTACAGACTTTATATGGATCTCTTAATCATCGGCTTACTACTCTCAATAATATTGATCTTTATTATTAATATGATAGTTGCTACTAATCTTTGCCTTGGTAGTAGGGCTCCACCTCAATAGTAATATTGATCTTCATTGTTGCTACGATAATTGCTTCTATTCTGTGTCCTGGTAACAGGGCATTAGCGTTAATGTCCCTTTAAAAGCCCGGCAGGCTCGCTGCTCGAATATAAGCCGCCATGGTGAAGCTACTGTAGGGGTATCGAGATATTAATGTTGTCTAGCACTCAGGATGGATGGAAACTCTAAGGTGGTTTTCTTGTATAATATAAGTTATATTATAGACAGTCTGGTGCTGGAGGTGTTGCTTGTTCAGGAAGAATGGTCAGAATGAATCTCAATGGAGAGACAGAGCTTATATACCCAGCAGCAGCGGCCAGTCCTCTATGAATCATGTTGGGAAAACCCAGAAAGTTGCCGGTGACTAGTTTCGTTGCTAAGCAACGGTAACATCTGGTTGGTTGCTAGGGAAGGCGATAGCAGGTGGTGGCGTGGCTACGCAGTTGTAGGCAGTTGTAGGGGAGACGTCCACTACACTACCCATGAGTTGGCACAGTTTATTTCTTCTGACTGAGATATTTATCCCTCAGTGGGATGCCTTCCTTTATAATCACGTCTACTAATTGAAGCCTAAGTGATCGTGCCTTTGCGGCAATTCAATGTTATTTAAAAAGAAAGAAAAAACAATAATAATAGTAACAACTTAGCTGCCACTCTGCTGGTCACCTCCACCTGGCACTTCTTACGTCCAGTGTTGCCGTCCAAGACTGTTTGAATTGAGCTGTGTACACTGTATCTCCCTATGAATGGTGGATTGTAGGCACAATTTCAATCCTTGAGAAAGCACCCCACACACAAGAGAAAAAAAAGTCTTTGTGGCACCAATAATACGACTCGGTTACTGCTGGTAGTGGTGCCGTGTCAGCTTGCTTGCCAATTTGTTCCTCACTTTAAGTTATTTACAACCTCTTCCTCTGGCACTGATGATACTATGAACTGACTAAACTAAAGGCACAGTACTACACTCCCTGGTTGGCCTTTATCACAGCCGTGACCACAACTCCGTATAAAAAAAATAAAAGCTTCGCCATATGGCAATGATTTTGTGGTTGTATGCCTCTTGACCTGGGCTGTATCTCCAACTCGGTGGAAATTGAGTTTTCAATAATACAATCGCGTCTAGTATTAACAATCCTACATAGATTTACACCTTCACATCATTAAGACGATTTTGATGATTTTATGTAATCACTGTCCAATTTCTGCAGCTCAACAACGAAGGCCCGAATGCCGAACAGCTTTGTTACAGAGACGCAACACTACCCAAACCGCACGCTGACGCTGCTCACAATAATTAGTATTGTAGTGTGTTCATGTACCTTTACTTGTTATTAGCAGTGTAGTGTGTTCCTGTACCTTTACTTGTTATTAGCAGTGTAGTGTGTTCCTGTACCTTTACTTGTTATTAGCAGTGTAGTGTGTTCCTGTACCTTTACTTGTTATTAGCAGTGTAGTGTGTTCATGTACCTTTACTTGTAGTGTGTTCCTGCACCTTTACTTTCAGTGTGTTCCTGTACCTTTACTTGTAGTATGTTCCTGTACCTTTACTTGCAGTGTGTTCATGTACATTTACTTGTAGTGTGTTCCTGTACATTTACTTGTAGTGTTTTCCTGTATTCTATGGCTTTTAATATCTGTAAGGTCACGCCTTAAATATAGTCTCACTGTAATCCTGAAGTCATTATTACAACATTTGTTTATCTCTGGCTGCGTCTTATGCACTGTTGAATGTGAACCTAATGTGTGCACGTTAACTTATTCCAGTTTATATTAAAATTTATTGTTGTGTTAATAACTCGCCTTAAAGACATTTATTTATTTATTTAATTATTTATATTTAACTTGTCAGGTTTCTAAGAGTGGCGAGGAACGTGTAGGAAGTTAAGCTGTAAACATGAGGGAGGCTGAGTGTGAAATCTTTTTTGTTATCATATATTTGTATCTTTATCCTCACACACTTTTTTCAGATCCATTATACGTATACCAATATGCTAATATATCATTAACATAAACACTGAGGAATATAAAACTATAAAAATAGTGAGTGTTCCCATTGTTTTATACAATAACAATGTTCCAACAATTACAAACATAGCAAAGTAATTGTGGGCAACTCTCCACCCACACAATTCCTATCATTAATTACCTAGTACTAGTAAATATTACAACTGAACTTAATTATCATCTTGTCCCCATATTTTTTAAAATGAAAAAGATAAATAAATTAATGGGTGATAATAAGATTCTGTCGCCCTCTTCTGTAATGTATTGTTCTCTCCATCCATATATATTTATCATGTCGATCCACAATGGAAATGTGGATAAGAAGAAAAGATAAGTCTTGATAAAACCACACGGAAAAAGGGAAGCACTGGAGTACATCACCATCCTTCACCACTATGTGACAACAGGGACACACATCACCATCCTTCACCACTATGTGACAACAGGGACACACATCACCATCCTTCACCACTATGTGACAACAGGGACACACATCACCATCCTTCACCACTATGTGACAACAGGGACACACATCACCATCACCACCATGCAACAGGGACACACATCACCATCCTTCACCACTATGTGACAACAGGGACACACATCACTATCCTTCACCACTATGTTGCAACAGGGACACACATCACCATCCTTCACCACTATGTGACAACAGGGACACACATCACTATCCTTCACCACTATGTGACAACAGGGACACACATCACCATCCTTCACCACCATGTGACAACAGGGACACACATCACCATCCTTCACCACCATGTGACACCAGGGACACACATCACCATCCTTCACCACTATGTGACAACAGGGACACACATCACCATCCTTCACCACCATGTGACAACAGGGACACACATCACCATCCTTCACCACTATGTGACAACAGGGACATACATCACCATCCTTCACCACTATGTGACAACAGGACACACATCACCATCCTTCACCACCATGTGACAACAGGGACACACATCACCATCCTTCACCACCATGTGACAACAGGGACATACATCACCATTCACCACTATGTGACAACAGGGACACACATCACCATCCTTCACCACCATGTGACAACAGGGACACACATCACCATCCTTCACCACCATACAACAGGGACACACATCACCATCCTTCACCACCATGTGACAACAGGGACACACATCACCATCCTTCACCACTATGTGACAACAGGGACACACATCACCATCCTTCACCACTATGTGACAACAGGGACACACATCACCATCCTTCACCACCATGTGACAACAGGGACACACATCACCATCCTTCATCACCATGTGACAACAGGGACACACATCACCATCCTTCACCACCATGTGAGAACAAAAAGTAATCCTGAACTTCGTAGACATGTTTGGAGTTAGATCAACTATTTTTTTTCGGGTTTTAGCTTTTCCTTTATGAATGTTTTGTCCGCCTGTTCATATGAGGGGGAGATACACTCCAAGCTGGGATAAACACACACACACACACACACACACACACACACACACACACACACACACACACACACTAATGAATGGTTGACGATTGGTTTCGTAGTTACGTTCAGAAAGTTTTTGTTGGGTTGAATTTTATGTATAGGTTGACCTACTCACACACTTCTGTACTCAACGTAAGTACACAACCTCTTATCCTACATTAGTAACCGTTTTACATTTTAAGTTCCATTACTGGTAGCACGCACACACACACACACACACACACACACACACACACATATGGCTGGTGCTACCGAATGTCCACCAAAACACGTCAGCGTCTTCAGAAGGTGCAGCTAGGGCCTGGTGAGGAAGGGCAGCCGGCTATGGTAGTAGAGGGACCCCACTGGGGCTCTGAAGGGCAGCTTGTCACATTGGCAGGCGGGGCCCCCCGGCCCATCCCTACACCATTTCGCACACTATGGAGATATCACGCGGTCGCCAAACGTGTCGCTGACAAAGTAAGGGGAAGGAGCAAGTCGCCTACGTGCGTGGGTGAAGAAGCGGACGGACCGACGGCCGATGATGTGGTTGGGACAATCGCACGCCAGGCTACCGCGACCTTCCTTACACGCCACTTCGCAAAAGTCGCTGAGGGAATCCTTGGTGGTAGTGGGAACAGAGTCGTGGCTCCCCGTCACGTTGCCTCCAATAACGTCACCCCCATCGTTACCAGGAACCTTAGGCCTCCGGGGCTTTGGGGGATGGTAGTGTTCCATGTCATGGTCACCTGGCAACTGTGCTGAAGCCTGGCGGGTCCCGTCAGTGTCACCTGGCAACTGTGCTGGAGCCTGGCGGATCCCGTCAGTGTCACCTGGCAACTGTGCTGGAGCCTGGCGGATCCCGTCAGTGTCACCTGGCAACTGTGCTGGAGCCTGGCGGATCCTGTCAGTGTCACCTGGCAACTGTGCTGGAGCCTGGCGGATCCTGTCTTGATCATCTGGCAACTGTGACTCGGTGAGGGTGGGAGGGAAGGGCGGGGCATGGCATGGCCCAACAGGGTGGTCAGGACAGTCACACTCGGGTCCTCCCACGCCCTCCTTACACGCCTCGCGGCAGAACTCATGGAAAGGGTCCAGGGTGGTGGTGGTAGCTGCGTTATCAAAGATGCTCTTAGAGACTACACCAGACTGTTTAGGCTTCACAAATGATCTGGGGACGATTTCAGGCCTCACAGCTGGCTTCAGAATGACTTCAGGCGTCACAGCTGGCTTCAGAATGACTTCAGGCCTCACAGCTGGCTTCAGAATGACTTCAGGCCTCACAACTGACTTCAGAATGACTTCAGGCCTCACAGCTGGCTTCAGAATGACTTCAGGCCTCACAGCTGGCTTCAGAATGACTTCAGGCCTCACAGCTGGCTTCAGAATGACTTCAGGCCTCACAACTGGCTCGGGGACGGCTTCAGGGCACACAGATAGATGGCGATGCAAGGGAGGGTCGGGGACGTCGACGGGCGCCAGGGAGCGGGCGGTGGTGTTGACGGCCAGCAGCAGCAGCGCCCCCACACTGGCCACCACTCGCATCTCCATTCTCTCACCTACAACAGATAAAGTTGATCTATGTATTGATTGTTTGTTTTGTGTGTGTGTGTGTACTCTCAGTCAGGTGTCCACTCCATGTGCATGTGTGTGTCAGCTGTTAGTCAGGTGTCCACTGTTGTTGTTGTTGTTGTTTTTTTTGGGTTTTTTTTACGGAAATTAGCCCACCCGAGCACAGGTCACTGACCCACATCGGGGCCTGGGGGGGGGCGAAAATGTAATAATGATAATGATAATGAGGAGGAGGAGGAGGAGGAGGAGGAGGATGATGATGATGATGATGATGATGATAATAATAATGATAATAATAATTATTATTATTATTATTATTATTTTTATTATTATTATTATTTTTATTATTATTGTTATTATTATTATTATTATTATTATTATTATTATTATTATTATTATTATTATTTTTAACAATAAATAATAGAAATAGATAACGATTATAACCAAAAACTACTAATAATAATTACCATAAATAAAACACAAACGAAAAACTAAATCAAGAGTGAGAAACAATATACAGTATGTATGTTGTGTTGTCAATAGTAAGAGAAACAATTGAGACCCTGCAATTGTGTGTAAATGAGGCAGAAAGTCAGATCAGCAACCTGGGCTGTACGTATATTAGTATTTCTGTTTCATTATGTAAACTTAACAGAATGTATCTTTATTTTTTGCACATTTATGAGAGACCTGAAGAAGCAGTTGTGAAGAAAAAAAAGAATTAAAGAGATTGTAATATGTTAATGAAACGAGAAAGTGTTGGAAGGGTTTTGTTTCGGTTTGTTTTACTCTCTTTCTCTGGGAAGGCTTTGAGGAGATAGGACGGGACAAGAATGGTTGGTGTATATATATCTATTGTTATCTGGGCATTCGTGGATAATTTTGGTGTTAACTAAGGTGTAGTATGTTAATTATAGCTAAAAGAGTGATGTAATAGTGAGAGACCATTATATTTTGTAATGGCCCCTGTTTCATCAACAGAAAGATTATATAAATGGGTTAATTACATATTGATTTATATACATAATCATCCCCTGTAATTTTCCACTGACTATGAGGAGTTATCTTGATGGCATCTGGTTGGCACCCTTCCTTATAAGGTGTGGCTAGAGACAGCTTAGGTCAGCATTTGAAAGGGCCGGGCGATCAGGGCACTGACGCCCTGAGGCCTGACTCTCCCTCAATGCCTCACATAGAAAGGACCTCTTTAAGCAGGTCTATTTACATAGCCTCCGTCCTTCTCTTAACACTCATACTGTAGTTACAGTGATAAGTTACGGTTGATTTACACTTTGGAATTGTCTTAGCTGTTCCTGAATAAATGGATAACAGACAACTTGGGTTTTGCTACTAATACCCAATAAAATATAATCGTTCCAGCCAAGTTAACTTAGACAGAATCAACAGTTAACAAGGCTATGACATGGGGGCAGCAGTGGTTACGGATACTGAATTCCGGTGTGAATACACATTCTACATAACAAGTCATCAGTGTTTCCCGAAACAAGAAAAAACAAAGAAACAGTGACTTGTTACATAAAAGTTCCAAGTGTAGTGATATATCCCGTAGTGAGACGATTATAGTTGAGTGACTCATTCTGTCGCCCAAAGAAGGTGCAGAATTATTCCCAATAACCGATTCTGAGTTATTGATGACTTTCTATCTTATGGAAAGTTGGCAACACCCCTGTCTGGCAACAAAGAGTGGCAGTGAAGAACCCCTCTAGTCACACTTGGCGTACAGTGTTGCTACATACCTACAAGTTTCAAGGTTTGGCAAGACAGGATCTTTCACCATTGTTTAAAAAGACTGTTTGGGCTGTCGTGATTGAAGATTGTACAACTATCTGAGTGCTCTCAGTGAGTCCTTTTATGTACAGGGCTTCAGAAGGTTTGGGCACTCAGAACAAGATACATCTCATCAGTGAGCAGGTGACCGAAGACGTCAAGACCCAGCACTCAACACTTTGGTGAATGGACTCCTCGTCGTGAAGTGGACTCGCCCATCGCCATCTTGGAGCTCTTGGTTGCCAAGCAACGAGGACGAGACGGCAGTACCTACACACACCCACCCTGACCTTGAAAGGGCTGGCGCAGGCAACCACCCCACCACACCCCACCTGCGATTAGCTGTGAGGAGACAAGCTGGACGGATCACGTTTTCTATGAAGACATCCAACTAAGTCGATAGGTATTTAGTGTTCATTAAATATATATTGTACACACATTTAGATATTCGACGACATATCTCCACATCGATAGGACACCATGCAAGTTATATCAATTTTTATAAGTGCCTTACATGTTTTAATACGTACTGACTTAATATATTTTTCAGTATTTAATATCAGTTACTGTAAATGAGAGGCAAGTGTGTTGACATTTATGTAAGCCTTAGTATGACCCGATAGACGTTTAATGGAGGAATTTTTAAAGTCATCGTATTGGGCCATTGATAAATTGACGGAGCCAGAAACACAGGCCAAACGCAGTTAGACAGTTCTGTTAAAAGCAGTGAGGATATAAGAGACCATTCATTTGACGAATAAAACCGTCGAACCCTACGGTCAGGTAAACAATATAGTCCCTCGCCTGATCATACACAGGCTGTTCCTTCTCCTCTTCCGGGTTGCAGTGTGTCTGATACATGAACCTTACCTCCGGGTTGCAGTGTGTCGGATACATTAACCTTACCTCCCCCTTTAACAGCGCCTTCAGTTAGAAGTAAGTTTAGTGGAATGCCTTCTTCTAACGCTAATATGTCGACTAACCCCTCAAATGTTGTTCACGTGTTACCACGTGGGGATCAGGTACGTGATTTCACGGGTCAGGATGATTACAGAATAACCCATTTCATTAGGGCATGCGAAGACACGATGTGCGACGTACAGATTGCGGATGATCATGATAAAAAGCGTTCGTTCGTTCCTACATCCCGCAGAATTCCTTTGCGAGTACGCACCTAACTGCGTATGGACTGGCGGACCCAAATCATGAAAATTTCAAACGGGCTCTAATTGGTATATTTGAGTCTGGGTCCCACTTGGGCCAGCTACATTGTGTTTGTCGATGACTTGATCACTTAGCACCTGTGGTACACGCAGAAACACCGATGGGGGCTGTCTCCATTGATGGAGCGGTCAGACAAGATATGGAAGCAACCTTCCGGGGATCGAAGTGGTATGATGACGATGGTAAGATGTCCCCAGAAAAAGTGGAAACTTTGATAGAACTGATTAGTTTCCTGTTGGCGGCTCGTGATCCCATCTATTGTCGAGTCCAGGAAGTGGAGTTTATACCGCCTACCACGATGATAGATTACGCTAACAAGTTTTCACCAAAGACGTCTAAACCTCTGACAGCACGTAATTACAAAGCTACGACGCCTACACCGGTAGCACCAATGCAGCCTTTGGTTCAGCTCAAAGTTCATCACCAGAGTAATTACGATGCAGGTAACAAACATCGACAGTCTTTGAGGTGTACCCATTGTAATAAGAGAGGTCATACAGTCGATGATTGTTACCAGCTCCAAGGTGGTGGTGTTAGAGTAAAGGAGATAAGCCATCCCCCACCGGCTATCAGCAGAAACAGGGAGCACCCAAGACATACACGGAGGTGGCCAAGACTACGTCTTCACCTGGACCGTCAACAGTTTTGTGGTGTGCATTCCATCAGTCAACAACTCACAACACGGATGAGTGTGACATAATGCTCAAAGCCAGGAGCTTGGATTCAGGAGTACCCCAGGTAACACAGCAGCGTAAAACGCGTCGTTATCAGTATAGGAAGTCGGGGGAAGGCCAGCGAGTGTCAAGAAACGAGGAAGGATAGGTACATTGGTACCTACAAGCAACAACACTTCTGTGGCAGCTTCCTTAATAGCGGCGCTCGGTAAGACGGAAGTGTTGTCAGTACCGGTGAGAGTTGGAGATATCAGATTGGCTCTGGATATTGATACGGGTGCATGTGCAAATGTTTTAGCCTTGACATCCTATCAGGAGTTACAGCGTAGATTCCCTCACCGAGATTTCTTATGGAGACCTTCTGACGCCGATCTCGAAGGAGTATCCGGCACGCAGCTGAGCATTGCGGGAATGGTGACTTTACCGCTAAGATTTTCAAGACTGGTATTCCCTTCTATGCAGACTTTTATGTGGTCCAGCAATTTAATTTGCCAGCTGACGGATTAATTGGTCTCCCAACACTCAGAACGAATAGTATAGATGTTCGTCCACGTAATAATGCTATTACGTTTAAAGGTGTTTCCTACAACGCTATGCGTCATTGTGCACCATTGCTCTCCGCAAGGTCGAAAGTGTTGTCCACCATTCCCACTCGAAGGAAGGCGGATAATTTGTCGAAGCAAGCCCCAGACCTCACTCACTCAATTTCCCAGCATGATTATAGCAACAAGAGTTGGAAGATTGTACCTGCGATATTAAAGAGTACGCTTCATTATCAGAATGAGGAATTCACCAAAGCCACTGTAGAATTACCTGACGGATATACGGGGACTGATGTAGTATGTCTCCCGGAAACGTGCAAGGTGAAGGGTTTAGCGTGCAAATCGACGTTGAGCACGATTAGACCTGGTGGTTTAACAGACGTTCTAGTTCTCAATGGAACAGGCGTTCCTAGGATATTAAAAGAGAGAGATGTTATTTATGTGTGATTTTCTAGTATTTCAAAACAATGTTGTATTACGGCCTACACAATTCCCAGTTGGTAGTATTGTTTCTCAATCCCAACAAACTAGGAGGGAGAGGATAGATCAAATAGCACCACATGTTAAGGTGATTGATCATCCTCAAGGCAAGACACGACTCTTAGAGCTGCTTGCCGACTACAGAAACATTGTAGCCTTGCCAGGGGAACAGCTAGGACACAGATTTAACTTCCCATCACATATTAAAGGAAGGCACAAAGCCTGTCTATGTACCAGCTTACCGACTCCCACATAGCCAGCGCGCTGTAGTTCAGGGTATGGTCCAAGATATGTTAGATGAGAATGTTATTACTCATTCTAAGTCCCCTTTCAATAGCCCTTTAT